GAGAGAGAGAGAGAGAGAGAGAGAGAGAGAGAGAAAGAGATAGAGCGAGAGAGAGAGTGAGAGAGCAAAGGGAACAATGAGAACAACAAAAATGATGGCAAGAACAATGACAGCAGCAGCAACATCAACAGCAACAGCTACAGTTATGGCAAGAACAACAATATCACCTACAACAACAATGACAACCACAACAGCATTCTCAGCAGCAACACCACCACCTACAACTACACCTTCAACCCATATATAAAATCACCTTCAGCAACAACAACAACAAACCAGGAGAACAACAACAATGCTCTTATCATCAACCACCACTACAACTCCTCTCTTCCCCTCCCCTTCCCTCTCCTCCCCTCCCCTCTTCTCCCTTTCTGTACCTACCGCTCCCCTCCTCTCACCTCCCCTCTCCTTCTCTCCCCCAGGAACTCAAGTCCCGGCTGTCCAGACAGGACGAGATCTCGGGACAACTCAAGGACCAAAACTCCAACCTCAACTACGATGTGGACCAGCTGATTGCTGTGGTCAGGACTGCTCGCTCCTCCGGCCGCTGGGAGGTGGGTGTTTGACCACAGCTCTAGTAGCAGGGTTGGGGAGTTGGGTGGGGTTGGGGTGGGGTGGGGTGAGGGTTGTGGTGACAGCTGTAGTATCAGGGATGGGGATGGCTGGTGGGGAGGTGGGATGAGGGGGGTGGGGGTGGGTAGATGACCACAGCTTTAATGGCAGGGGTGGGAAGTAGTGGAAGGGGGGATGTGACCACAGCTGCAGTGGCAGGGGGTACATTCTGGAGGCGGGGGGTGGGAGATCATCATCATTGCCTTTCTCACCCTGGAGCAGGGTGCAGGCCACAAGCAAACACTTTCCATATTTCCGTATCCTGGGACAGCATTTTGGTATTATTCCCTGTCTTCTCACTTTTCTGGATTAAAATTTTTTAATTTTTTTTTTTTTGGGGGGGGGGGGAGGATATGGGCAGTTAACTCTTTTTATGCCACTTCACTATCTATCTTTGATGTCTTTGGGTGATCAGGGGGTGCTCTAGTGTGGTTTTCTCCTTCTTTCCTTTCAAACATCTATCATTCTTTTTTCTCCTCTTTTTTTTGGGTATTTTATTCTCTAGTAAGACCTTTAATCTTTGGTACTCTTATGATCTAATTGAGTTACAAGTGAAGAATAATTCCTACTAAAACTAGAACAAAAAGATCTCTGGTATGGCAAACATAAGATGGATACTCAGATGAAATTGTCAGTAAATTAGAGGGCAAACCTAGAGGTAAGCAAAGTGTTCAGTGTCACTTCAGTGGCCCAAATTTTGTAGATATCCATGTATTTTTAATGAAGATCAGCGCTATTCTGTGCTGCAGTGTTACATACACTGCTTCTACATACTATTTAATGAAATCTATTTCAAGAAATATCTTTTCCCCTGTAACTGTTCATTAGTGTCTGTGGTGTAGTGGTAAGGTGCTTCGCTGTCGCAAGCAGGAGATATTAGTTTTATTCCCAAATAGAGAGAATTTTTATCTAGTATCTTGGTCTTTCTTCGTGGATGTTATATCCCTCTCTGCAGGGGTTAGACCTGACAGGTAGAGGTGGAAGCCTGCTTCCTAAATAATCTAAGTTATATCTAGATGTGGAAGTAAAACACCAACCTTTATTAATCTTTTAAAAAAGCGACTATGTTTTCAGCTGCTGTTGTTCTGTTCTGACCTCAGATTGACAAAGTGAGATTTCGTGAGCTGACTATTGAGCAAGTGTTTGGTTCCATCCATGAGACGTTCTCCAAGTCGTGAGTATCTGTGTGGCTCATTATATGGGAGGTGGGGAAAAACTAGAGAGTCTGACATAATTGTACATTGTGGGTGGTTGGTAGGTGCTCTGGTGTGGTTTGCTTCGTCTTTCCTATCAAACATCTGTCATCATTATTTCTTCTTCTTCTTTTCTTTGTATGAAACTCTCTAGTGACACCTCTAATCTTCGGCACCAATATGACCTATTTGTGTAGCTAGTGGTTTCTAAAACTATTACTAAAACCAAAAAACCCCCAGTGTGTCAGCATCTCGTCTATAAAGATCTTTCTTATGTTATGTTATGTTATGGTATGTAACAGCCACAATATGTAATGTTATATAATGCTATGTTGTGTTATGTAACAGTTATGGTGTGTTATATTATTTAACAGTTATATTATGTAATGTTATGTTATGTTATGGTAACTTGTTTTATCTTGTCTTATCCTATCTTATCTTAACGAACATACAATGTACTAATGTACTCCCTGCTTCCACCAGTCGAGTGTCGGGAGATGACAGCGAGATGAGGGAACAGATCCGACGACGCGACGACAAGATCGACGCCTTACAACAGGAGCTGAAACGTCTACGAGCCGACTCCAAGCTTGTTCAGGATGAGGTGAGGGTGTGTGTGGACTGTTGGAGAGAGAGGGGGGGAGGGAGGGAGGGAGAGAGAGGG